AAGTTGCCCAGGCGGGTCTCGAACCTGCGGGCTCAGGCAATCCATTCACCTCAGCCTCCCAAGGTGCAGGATTACAGGCTGAGCCACTGAGCCCGGCTTGCTATCTCCTTTTCATCTTTTTTGTTCCAAAATTCCATTGGTTCTCTGGCTGACTCTTTACCTGTAATATATAGGGCCTCTTATTGCTTATTACTTTCAAGATGCTCTCATTTTTGTTTGTCACCCAGTTTCTAGTTTGCTCCTGAACTGCCTCTCCCTGTTGAATTCACTTAAATAATTTTTCCTTTTTCCCTTTTTTCTTCCTTCCTTCCTTCTTTCCTTCCTTCCCTCTCCTTCCCTTCTTCCCTCCTTTATTACTTCCTTTCTTTTCTTTCCTTCCTTTCTTCTTTTTTGCCTCCCTTCCTTCCTTCATTTCTTCTTTCCCTCCTTTTTTAAATAAGATGATTGTTTTCTTCTTTTGTATCCTTTTTTTTTTGCCAGTTAGTCTGTCAGGAACTTAATGGTTTAATCTCAAGCTTTAACACACCCCTTTATTTAAAAAATGACTTTGAGTTTCTTTTTGTAATAGACTCGATATGGAATCTTTACAATAGCATTTTCTAATTCCAAAACACCTTGGATTCCATTATATAGAAATAACAAATTTCACAATTAGATCTCCCTGTCATTCAATACTAAAAGCAAGGGCAACTAATTCCCAAAAGATCCCTATAATTTCCATGAGAGCGACCAGAGTTGGTATTATAAGTAGAGCCCTGTTTTAACTAGCATAAAGGAATATCAACATTGTTCTTATAATCATGCCTCCTCCCTCAAGGAAGCTTATGACCCCAATATAGAGATGATAGAGGTATATTATATTTTTGGTTTACATGAAGGCCCACCAACCCTACCTCATCCCCACCCACACACACATATGCATATACCCAAAAGGATTTATGGGAGAAGGAGGCTGCTCTGGGAGAGGGAGGCTGCTCTGCGAAAGAGAAGGATTGCTAGTTCCCAAGCTTTGCCATCTGAAAGAGGAAATATCGCTCTGTGTTTAACCTGTTTGCTCTCTAAGTATATATGAATGCAATCTAAGATCATCTCAATAATGTTTACACTGTTACCTAAAACACTGTGTTGATGATTTTGGGAGCAGTTACAGTTAAGAATTGTGAGAGAGAAGGACAATGACAAGTACTGTTTTGTTGTTGGTTCAAGGAAGATTTTGATAAATATTAGGGCACCAGTCTGACACCTCAAATCTTGCAAGATGACCCAACTACTTGCCCACTCTGAACTGTCATAACATATTGGAGTTTGAATGAACAAATACTTCTTAGTAAACTATTATAAGTATTAGCCAATACTTCCTAGTTTGTATCCTACCTATCATTTCAAAACCCTAACAACCAGAAAGCATTCTTTACTAAACATCTGGTTATTAATATATATCTCATAGGAAAGCTATATATATGGTACTTATAACATGTAGAGGTTCATAAGCTGAAGTTGACAGTTCAAGATTTAGAAAAACAATTACATTTTATTAAGAATATTCAACTATTCAACTTTGTAAGATAATGAAATACAGATACTGCATAAATATTTTAACAGAAAGAAGACTCTGTTGAACAGACTTCTCAATGAATAAGACTTATGAAAGACTCTATTAACCTGGAGTTCTCATTCACTAACAGTCTTTATATCCATATATGCAGAACTTTGCTAGTTAGAGCTACTAACCTGACCAAAGAAATAACCTTATTCTAGTGAACCAGGGTTGATAATGATAGTTATTAAAAACAGAATCTTTGCCAAGCACAGTGGCTCACACCTGTAATCCCAGCACTTTGGGAGGCTGAGGCAGGAGGATTGCTTGAGCCCAGGAGTTCAAGACCATTCTAGCAACATTGCAAGACCTTGTCTCAAATAAATAAATAAATGAACGAACAAACAACTGAAC